AGCTCAGCACCCCTGGCTGCTGTGTTAGTCCTGGCCTCGCCAGTATCACCCCACCATGTGCCTGATGTCCCTCCACACGTGGAGGGTCACCCTGCTCTAACACCACCTTCCCACCTCCCAGGCCTCTACGAGGGCTTCGAGGGGCTGCAGGCTGAGGAGTGCGGGATCCTCAACGGCTGCGAGAACGGGCGCTGTGTGCGCGTCCGGGAGGGCTACACCTGCGACTGCTTCGACGGCTTCCAGCTGGACATGACCCGCATGGCCTGCGTGGGTGAGCGGGGCCGGGCCGGGCCGGCAGCCGGGCCCCGCATCCCTTGGCGGCTGCCGCTCTCTGGCGGTCCTGGGCGGGACAGCTGCCGGAGGAGTGCCCGCTCCCGGGTGCTTCCTTCCCGTAGGGCTGGGAGGACCTTCCTGGGGGTTCAGCCGGCCACTGCTGGCAGCTAGGTCAGGGCAGCTCTGTCCCCCGCGGGGAGCAGCTGATTGACAGCTTCTTGGCATAGCACCCTTCTACATCACCACCCACTGCTACTGTATCCCCGTTTAATTTCCCCGACATTCATCACTGCCCTGGTGAAATTCCTCACTTTCTACCCTGCCCTACGGGACACAGTCTCTAAAGCATCTCTTAGCATTTCTTCTACATCCCTATGCCATGCCTCCATCCTTTTCACAGAGCAGCTCCCCAAGCCAGCTGAGGCCCCAGGCACTCAGCAGGTAAAGACCCCCTTTTTCCTTCGGCACAGCCCTAACTAACCCCCAGCTTCTTACTGCATGACATGGTCATGCAGCTTCTTTGTACAAAACCCATGCTCTCTGCCTCCCCAAGTGCTGCTGGGCAGAAGGGCTGCCTGAGCTGTTACTCCCCATTCTGCATTGATGCCCTCTGTTTCATTTTCCTTGGCCACAGGATTTTTTTGCGTTTGCTTTCACTGAATGTTCTCTGGTTGATTTTGGATGGCTTCTCTGCTTGATTAGAATGAGTCTGAAGCCCGCAAAGCGCTTGCAGCCTGGTGTCACACACATGCTTTTTACAGGCAAGGGAATTCTCCCTTTGCCCACCTTAATGACAACATTTAGATGGAGCAGGGGTCAGGACAGACTCCTGCAGGCTATGCTTTAAATGTCTTTTATTGTAGCAGACAGGTATTGCTAATTACCTTTGGTGTGCAGCTTTGCAGCTCATTGTGCAATTGCTGCAGTTTCATCTGGACTGTATTTTCTCAGTCTGCTTGAGTGTGTCATGTGAGAGCGTGTTGAAATCCTCACCTTGGCCAAGGCACATCATATCCACCACTTCTCCCTTATCTGACAGACCAGTTATCAGGTCACTGAAGGGAACCAGATTGGCTTAACGTAATCAGACCTTAACAGATCTGCACCAGCTATTTCATGACCCTGATATCCTTTGGAAGCTTATGACCTAATCGCTCACAAACCTGGTCTGCTTACGGGAATAGGGGTGAGCAGTCTGTAATCCTGGATTCTCCCTTCTCTCTTTTTGAAGATAGTCACCAGATTTACCCTTCCTTGGGTCGCTGAGACCTCTCTTATCCTCCATCTCAGAGAGAACGTTCAGCTTTTCAGGGACTGCAGGAGCACCAAGATGTGAAGATGAGTTGCAACAAGCCTTTAGCAATATGGATGTAACTGCTTTATCTATCTGATTGTTGGACCTCTCCATCACAGTATGGCCTTTCCTGCCCTGTGCTCTTTCACCTTATTCAAACACTTCAAATGTGGTCTGCACCCTGTCTGGTCACCATGAGCGTTTTTGATGGCTGGAACAAAGCCCACGCCAGCTGCTGCAGCCAGCTCGGCTGTCTTTTGTTTCCTCAATGATAAGGACCAGACCGACATTCCCCAGTGTTTCCTGCTGATGTATTTATGGAGTCTTTGCTTGTTGCCTTTTGTGTCCTAGACTAACTAGCACTTATTTTACACTGGAGCCTATCTTGGATTTTTCCTTTCAGTTCTTCTACTTGGTGCTTAGTCACCCCTGTGTTTTTACCTTGCTGACTTCAGGCGTGGAGAATACTCCTACAGCTGTTGCAGTGCTTCCCCTCTCACCTCCCTGTGGGGATAGCTTGCCCTCACCCTGCAGGACGGGCTGCCTGCCTACCCCTGCCTGAATGGGCAGGCTCCAGGGCTTGGTGCACACTGCTGGCACCAACTCTGCTGCTTCTTGCTTTCAGGTGACTGGGCTAAACTAGCCTTGTTTTACTTCTTTGAATTCAGTGACCCACAGCCAAAGCAGCCTGCCAGCTCTTCACCCTTTTACCTTTCCCTGGAGACCCCAGCAAGGCTGTCTGCTTCCCAGGCTGTGGAGCACATCTCCCTGGATGTGCTGCCTAACATCTCTTCCTTGGGCTTCTGAACAAGCCCATCCTTGGTGATGTTCTGGGCCTGAGGTTTAGCCCAAGTTCTCAGTGCCCTGTATACGAAGGCTGTCGTGTTTCTCAAGCTCTCATCTCACCTTTCCCCTCTCCTCCTTCTTCTCACATGACTGCTGTGTTTCCTTCCACCTTACCTGAAGGAATTGCTTCCAGCCTCCTTCCCTGGGGTTGTGCTTCTCTTTCTTTGCCAGACAGCCCCCTGCACCTGTGCTAGGGATAACCTGAGGTCCCAGGGTGGCAGAGCTTTCCAGCCCTCCTGGGGTCCATCGGTCACTGCCTGGGCCTTCACTCTCCCTTGCGTGGCAGGCTGAACCCATCACTTGTTCCCCACTCCTGCTTCCTGCTGCTATGTGGGGGGTGAGGCTGGAGTTTGTGGTCAGAGGGTTTGGACCTGCCTTGGCAGGTGAGGATTTGGGCTCTCATGGTCCTGTGGGTGCAGACAAGGGCTCTGGGGTGCACAGGGATGCTCTGCCTAGCTGGTGGCCTCACCACAAGTTGGGGTAGCTCAGGCAGGATGTCAGGGAGGTGCATTTAGCAGCAGGGCAGCTGCTGTAGGCTTGCATGCACATTCTAGCTCAGCCACAAGCCAGCCAAGTGAGCCCTTTCACACGGTTTGTGGGTTAATAAAACAAGGCCTTGTTTGCGCAGCACGAGGTCCCTCTTTGTTCTGGTCCTGGTGATGATGATCTGCCGCTCAGGGCCACCATCATCTGCCTTGTCAGCCTTGTGGATGAGGAAAGGGCATTTTCCAAGGTTGGAGGTGGTCTTTCTCCCATGTCCTGTGCTGCTTTCTAAGCACAACTTAGATGAAGCTGCTAACCCAGAGGCGTCATGAACTGCAGGACCCCTTATCTGTTGTGCATTGCTGGGGGTGGGGGGACTCCCTCCTGTGCTGGGGGATGCTAAATGCTGGGGATGTCACGCTTGGGTAGTAAGGGGGCTCTGTGGGTGTGCTGAGGGGTGTGGGAGGCTGAAGGAGTCATGGGCATCCTGGAGGTGCAGGGGGTGGGAATGGGGCACAAGGAGGTGTCTGTGGCTGGGAATGCTTGCTGTGCCACTGGCTCACCCCTGTCCTTCTCCTTGCAGACATCAACGAGTGTGAGGAGGTGGGCGGCCCTGAGCCCCTCTGCCAGGGCGGCACCTGCGAGAACACGGAGGGCTCCTACCGCTGCCGCTGCTTGCCAGGCTACATAGCCCTGGCCCAGCCCCACCACTGCGTGCCCCAGACAGCCCAGAGCCCAGCAGCAGCGTAGCTCTAGGGGAGCAGGGGTGAGGGTGCTCCCCTCCTGCACGGAGAAGGGCCCCCTGAGGCTGTGGGTGCTTCAAGGCGCTTTGCTCCTTCCCCTCCAAAGTCCACAACTTCTCCATCACCTTCTCTCTGCAGGTGAGGGGCTGATATCCCAGCCTCTGCACCCGCTGCACCCTGCTCCTGCTGCAGCAGAGCCCACCCCGGCTCCCAGCATCCATCGCATCACCCCATGCCGTTGAAGCTCACAGGACACCTTCCCCTGCCACGCAGCCCCAGCCTCCCCACTTCACCCTGCAAAAAAGGGGGTTCATCTCCCTGCTGCTGCTGCACTGACCTAGTGACACGCCTCACCCACACCGTGGGTGCTGGCCCTGCTCCTCGTGAAGCGTCCAGCCCTCTGGCCAGAGCTTTCAGAGGGGGTGACCCCAGCTTTCTAAAACTGCTGCCTAACCCTGGGGCTTGGGGAGAGGCCAGAGGGGCCCCAGAGCCAGCTCTCAGTGCTGGCCAGCCCAGGCACAGCCCTTAGCTGGGCACATCCCCCTGTGCCCCACGCTGCTGGGCAGGGGGACAGGTGCAGCTTCCTTTGTGTAAAGTTGTTGGTGACTCTTTTTTTGTTGTTTTTTTTTGTGTTTTTTAACCGAGTCTGTTGGAAACTTCTCTCATGTTGTTAAATAAAACATTTATTTTGGGCCCCTGTGGCTCAGGACACTGGGGCTGGTCAGAACTATGCTTGTCTTGCCTCTGCCGAGGGGGTACTAGATCCACATCTTCCCTGTGGGTCCAGCCCAGCAAGGCCACCACACTCTTGTAAGCCAACTCTTATCTCTCATGCTAGCACCCACCCTCTTCCTGAGGCAGAGCAGAGACTCTTGCCAGGCCAAATTCTTGCTTATCTCTCAAGCTCAGTTCCAGCAGCAAGAGCCAGCGCCATCCCCACAAGACAGCACAGCAGTTGTGGCTGCTCAGACCTTGCCTTGTTCACACACAAGGGGGCTGGCATTTAAGCGTGAGAGTGTGTAGGTTTCTGCAGCTGGCAGTTTTGGGAGCCTGTTGGTCCAGCCCCGGAGCCTTCACTAGAACAGCCTTTACCTATGGTGCAGCAAGCAAGGCCATGAACTCTGCCACCTCACAGGGAGCCCTTACACAGTTTCAGGGCAGCACAGGACCAGCAAGACAGGAGCACAGCCAGGCATTGCCAGATCAACACTGGCAGCCAGCAACAGAGATGCCTGGCTACTCACACATCACCTGTGCTCAGGCCACCATACCTTCAGCTGAAAAGCAAGACCAGCCCAACCCCAACTAGAAGATGCTCAGCCACTCTGCTCCTCTCCACTCACAGAAGACACAGAAGCAGGTAATATATAGCTTTTATTAAAAGGAAAGTTATAAAAAGAGGTTCAGGAGCTCCCAGCAGCTCCAAGTTAGTAGTAGTGCAAACCACTGATTAGAGAAAGAATCATCCCTGCAGAGACGCCAAAAGCCATTTGGCTTTGCATCCGTAAAGAAGTGTTCCAGCTGCAGTCCTACTGGCACAAGCGGGCCCAGGACAGAGCAGGCTGCCAGCTCAGGGGAAGTCTCCCCTCCTTCAGCTGCATGAATGGCAAACACAGGTACCAGGGGCATCCCAGTTGTGATGGAGCAGGAGAAGCGCAGAAGGGTGGATGCAGCTGGCATTCTAGAAGAGGCACTGAAGGGTTACCAGGTAGCAGCTCAGATACTAGCCAGGTTCATCACAGAGAAATTCCTCTGAGAGGGGACACAGCTCCATTTCAAACAGCTAATGTGCCTCCACAGAGCAGCTGGAGAATGAGGCTCAGTCGCTCCTGCAGCAGGCACTGCTCCCCCTTGAGCTGCTGTGAGAACACTCAGGGGACTCTAAAGGGGGTAAGAGCCCTCTGCCCAAGGCTGACCTTGCATGAACACGGTACTGGCTGCTCAGAGGCTGCAGAGCTCTGAAGGAAGCAGTAAGAAATGCTCTATTATATAAAAGAATTTGGCCTGTGTTGTCTTCTCGTTTTCCCCTCCCCAAGCCCTACTAAAGGGCTCCTCAGCTGGTGATCTGCACTGGTATCTTCCAGCAGAACAACATCTGGTCTTGGTCATCCACCAGCTCCCACTTCACAATCAGTTTAATCTGAAAGCGAGAGAAGAGCAGAGGGAAATGAGAGTGTTCAGGGAACCGCAAGGCAAGGACATAGAGAGGAGAGTTATCACTTCTGTGGAGCAAAGAGGTCCTGGGAGCTCTGCACAGAGAGGACAGAGGTGGGGTATTGCCCCTGCTGCATCAGGTGGTCCATGCTCCTGCAGCAACACCTGGAACATCTTACGTGGATGGAGGGTTCAGTTGCGTGACACAGGTGTTCACACAACTGCACTCAGATCCTTACTCTGAGTGAGCAGAGCAGAAACACCCTGCAGCCTCCCAGCTGAACTGCACCCTGGAGCCAAGCACCCCCAGTTTGGGAGAATCTGGCTGAATGCAGCAGGCTCTGTAGGGAGGCACAGTACAAGAGGATACTTGGGCAGCTGAAGCCACTTCTTCGCAGCTGGAGGCACGCTGCTTCCTCTGCTGGGTCTGTCCCAAAGTGGGAACTTGAAACAAAAGTCACGCTCACAGCAGAAGTTCAAACATAGTCTAAGGAGTCTTCTAACCCCTTCCCTACCACCACAGGACAAGGTGTCCTTCCCTCAAGGCAGGGGGAGGGCCTGCACCATGAAGATCAGTATCTCTGAGGAGCAGACCAGCTGCCTGCTTACTTACACTGGGGTACTCGCTCTTCACAGGGAGTCTATTCAGGTAGCTGTAGGAATGGCCCTTCTGAATGGGGCACTGGATCCCCGACTTGCATCCATCAGGCTCAGGAATGGGAAAGGGGATGTCCACGTGCAGCATCTCACCGTACACTCTTGCTTTGCTGCCCTGGCTCTCAATCTCTGCAGAACACAGAGAAGTGTGAGCATAGCATCAGAGCAGGGAACACGTTTCTACCTTACACCCTCCCCTCCCCATATCCTAGAGGCTGCAAGAACACAACTAAGGGACGCTCTTCATCACCGGCCACTTGTTCCCACTCAGAACCCTTTCCAACCACGCTTTCACATTCCCCTCCAAGCAGTGGGACCGAGATGACCTCCCCCCGCGCAGCCCACCCGGGCACCCCAGCTGGGGCGCCGATGCTCACTGCTGGCGAAGGTCACGTTGATGCTGTAGGACGTTCCCTTGTGGAGCAGGCACGGCTGCGTAGGGCACGGACTCACGTTCACCTCCTGGATGCTGCCGTCTACGGAACCTGCAAGGAACAGCCGGGCTTACCGAGCCTTCTCCGCCTGCTGACCCCTGCGCCCCCCGCCTCTGCCCGCACAAACTCACCGCAGTCGACGAAGTGGAGGGGCTCGGCCAGGGCAGTGGCGGCGGCGCCCAGCGCCAGAAGCAGGACGAGCGGGGACGGCAGCATGGCGGCGGCGGCGGCGGCAGCTGGAGCAGCAGCTGGAGCACAACGGCGGTGGCGGCAGGTCCGCTGCGGTGTCACATGAGCGCGGCGGCCCCGCCCAGCGGTCAGCTGGGGTGCGCCCCGCCCCGGTGCACGTCCCCCGCCCCGTGCCCCCGGGGGCCGCCGGGGGGGAGGCTGGCAGAGGGTGGCGGTCCCGGGTGCAGCGCTGCGATAGCCAGGCTCCCTGCTGTGGGAGACAGACAGCGCCCAAGGGCAGCAGCTGAAGGGCGCGCTCAGGTACAGCCCCGCGATGGGCTGGGAAGCGTCTTCGAGGAAGCCAGCACAGTAGTCTTACCTCGTTACTCCATACCTCATGATCTACATGTCGAAAGCTGAGTAACTCGAGTGCCAAGAGTGACATGTGCTCGGTAATTGGTGGTGGTTGCTGCTCATACAAGTTAGTCCCGCTTCTCAAACTTGTGAAATGCCAGAGACTGCCAGCTTTGTGCTGTGGGTGCTGGAACAAACCAGAGGACGATTTAAGACACTTGAGAAAGCTTTCGACCCGAGCTAACGGCTACAGCTTTTCACCAGTTTCACATGTTAGCAGCGTTCCTCGCAACAGGGTCATGCCAGGGACACGGCAGAGGAAGCACATGAGTGCTGATTTGGTAGGGGCACGGCAGAGCTGACACAGCTTCCCCACTGCAGCTCTCTGCCTCAGTCCCGTGTGTGCACACTCAGCCTCAGCTGCGCTGCCAAGTGACTCGGGCAAACCCCCACACCTTGCCTGGGCTCCCCACCATGGCTGCTGTCACATCAGAAACCCCAGAGGTGCTGGCAGGAGTGAGCCGGGCTTGCTCTTGTGCCTCTCTGTTGAGCAGGTTAGCTCTTCAGGAGGGACCCTTTCCTTCAGAAGGGGGAGTAGATTTTGGGGGGTTATTTTCTTATTTTTGTCTGAGTAAGCTTTTGGTTTGCAGAGGCCTCAAGCAAGCAGACCAGAGTGCTTACAGCAGCCCTATCAAACCAAAAATCAGCCAAAGACCCTACTAAGACCAAGCCCTGTATTTAAGCCTACCCAGCACTCTTCATAATGGACCCAGATAAAGGCTTTTCCTTGCACACAGGAACTCATGCCCTTAGAACATCTTTCCTTCTCCTTGGTAAACAAAGCCACCTATCTGACTGATGGGAACAGGATTGCAGTCAGCTCAGAGCAACACCATAAACTCCCATCACACATTCACAGGATAAGCAGTGTCACACTCAGGAGCAAATTCCACAATGCATTAAATCAGGATGCCTCCCTGTGAAATGGCTCACCACGTATCTTTGCTTTGCAGACGCTTTTGCACAGTGGCAGTGGCTGCACAGATACAAGTCTGCAAGAACTAAAAATCATTGAAAGTAGGATCAGAATTAACACATCTATTCCTCCCAGACGTGGATTAATTAAAAATAAACTAGTAAGTTTGTAAAACTACAGCCAAGGCCTTTGCATACGAAAGAAGCTGAAACCTTCTGCCCAAGGTTTTTAGCTGGTATCACACATTAAGAGTTTTGCAATCACAGCACTAAAGCATGGGTTCCTCAGGGCAGCATAAACATCACAGACCAAACAAGACCTTGCCTTTAGGCACATGCCCCTTTTGACATCTGATACAAGATGTGGGCCTCCAGGTCACCTTGGAGCCCAACATTTCACCAAAATACTCAATTCAGCTGCAGACAGGGCTCTTCCCAGATTAACAACTTCACAGCAAGCTTGTACTGAAGTATAGAAATACCAGGAGAAAAGACTAAGCAAGCCAACAGATAAATTCTTTCCAGCAAGACTGATACTTGAATTCTTCATTTCAGAATCTAAACACCTCTATTACGTGAGGAAAATGTCTAAGGTTCCACTTCATGAGCTAGCTACACCCGATGAATCCAAATCCCTCTGACAGCATTGCACTTGCAGCTTGGTAAACAGATGGGCTTGCAGGCACTACAGCAGCAGTGGATACAAAAGCCAGGTTCTCAAGAAAATCCACATACAGAGACTAATTAATTTCACTGTTCTCTCAGCCAGAACGTACTCCTTTTGCTGCAGGTCATCAGAATTCACGTCGAAATGCATCACAAGCTGCTCTCGCATTCAACACCACACCAGAGGGTTTATTATCACCCATTTCTGAAGCGCTGAAACAAGCTCAGTTTCCCACCAAAACAGATACAAGATGATTTAAGCATACACATTGCAGAGGAGAACAGCACAAAATACCTAGAGAATTCAACTCACAGCACATCTCTTCAATGCAGTGCGCTTGAGGAGAGCTGGAGGAACTCCCCAAACCCAGATACAACAGACCAGAATAAGAAGGGGAAAACAAAACACCGCCAAACCTAAAACCAGATTACATCAAGCTATTGGGAACAAGGTGACCAGCAAAATCACAGCCCAAGAAGGAAGAAAACCAGAGTGCCACTCTGGGTGAGAGAAAAACAACCATACCACAAAGCTGACAGGAGGAAAACAACAGTAAGTAATAAGAGGTGCAAAGGCATAGCTGTTCTTAGTTACTCCCGTTCCTCCTAGCCACTCAGAAAATTAGCCCCAGCACCTGAGTCACTCCTTGGCATAGTGGATTATTCATTAGATTAAATTAACTGAGGCCAACTGGCATCTTTCTCATTCTTTCAGTCTGTGGTAACCATTTGAGCAATATCCCGAGTGCCTTGAAACTACCTGTCACATTTCTGACATGTAACACTGGAAAAAATGAAGGTGTTTTAGCTGGTATCACACACTAGAAAGTAGAGTATCTGGTTTCTGGGGCTATACCTATTATCCAAAAGGTGCTTGGAGTAAATGGAGTCACAACATGAACAAATGCAGTGGGATTGGTCTAATACACTCTGCGGGAGAAAGAAAACCAGTTAACTTTCCTGCTCTGCTTTTGAGATGCCACATTGGTAATAACCAGAGAAACACCCCAATATGCTCTCTTAAAACATGAACTGTCCCAGTATGCCCGATGAGGCTTCATCAACCATTGCAGGTACTTACTTGCATTAATACCATCCCCCTTGGACCCTGCCTGTGATACATTCCTGGCTTTATACTAATGTCATTGGAATTGAACCAAGAGGAGGCAAAAGTAAGCAGGTCAAACCAGGTTGTATTTACATGCTCAGGGTGGGACAAGTAAGCAAAAGCTTATGGTTGCCAGAGCATTGGCTTGTGTGAAGCAGGATTGTGAGAAAGCAAGCCGTCACTGGGTTCCGAGGTCCCCTGGCACTAAGTCACCCCCTCCTGCTGGGGTGACTGGTTTTCCTCCACATCCCACGGCATGACTCTCCACAGGCCTGGCCCGGGTTGAGGAACAGGATTCCTCCCCCAGAACCACATGAGGAAGAAAGAGATAAAAGACTCTTTTAGCTGCGGATGCACCTGCAAGCGAACAGCCAGATCGCTGTCACATGTCAGATCATCCCACCCGATAAAGGAGAGCAAAGCAGGAGAGCCAGGATCAAGGGAAACCACTACAGCCCTGCTGCCCAGGCCCTGTTTTTGCTGCTCAACTTGTCTAACTCTTCCACCTTGATCCCTCTCCGAGCCTGAGTTCTGCTTGGTATAAACAAACCTTACAGCTAATTCCAGGACAAACACGCTCTATGTAGAGTGCTGCGTTATTTACTTTATTAGCATTTATTTTTGTACTGCTGTTTTATTTCCCTCCGTGAGCACTCCTGCTTGTGCGAACAAACACCTCCAAGAACAAACGGCAGCTTCGTGCCTTTGTACAGACCTCCATCGGTTTTGGGGGCTCTGGGGGCTTTCTGGAGCCAGCAGCCGACCTTCGCCGGCGGCGGGACGCTGCCGGGCCGGGCGGGTCCGCACGATGAGGTGGGCTCGGTGGGGCGGGCAGTGCGTTGCCTAGCAATGCCCGCCGGCTCAGCACTTCCGCTTCAGCGGGGGCCATTAGCACCTCGCCGGAAGCAGGGGCGGTGGCAGCCAATGGGAGGGCGGAGGCGGGGCGCCGGGGCGGGCACAGGGGGCAGCATGGCGGCGCAGGGCGTTCGGAGGTGTTGGTGGATGTTGGCTCTGGGCGGCCGGATGAGGTATCGCTCCGTAGCTTCCGTGGGCCCGCTCGGTGTCCTCGGCGGACTCCCGGTGTTGCCGCTGTGCGGCAGGGGCGGCGACTGTGGGCATGGGGACGGGGCCCGCTCCCATCCCTGGCGGTGTGGTAGGGACCTCTCTGAGACTCCCCTTTCCTCTCTTCTCCCTGAGGCAGCTGGTGTCCCACTGCACTGTGCCGAGGACGAGCGGTGCCAAAGTCCCCGGTGGGCCCTGCCGGTGCAGTTGGCCACCCCCTGCGCTGGGCAACGTCCTTCTCTCAGCCAGGCCCGACAGAGAGTGAGCCCAGCGAGGGACAGGTCTTTCTCAGCGAGAGCTGCGTGAAGGTAGGGACCATGGGAGGCAGCTCGGGTGCCTCTGGAAGGGGTTTCCAAACTGCCTGCTCTGTCAGAGGCACACAGGGGAGGCACCTGAGTGTTCCCTAGTTTGTCAGCAGGTCTTTTAATTCTTGTCCTTTTCTTTGCAGAGGCTGTTGGAGATCACAGAAGGCTCAGAGTTTCTCAGGCTGCAGGTTGAAGGAGGTGGCTGTTCTGGATTTCAGTACAAGTTTTCCTTGGACACAGTTATCAATCCTGATGACAGGCAAGGGCAGAGGGGTATAGTGGTGGGTAGGTGTGACTGTTCTTCCCAAAGGTGACAAGAAGGGTGTGCATGATGTGGATAGTATCTTGTGTGGAAGGGAAGGAAACTGTGAGGTAAAGAAAGTGCTCAGGCTGTGCTTCTCTGTTGGATCTGCAGCACAACTAATGGTTAAATATGCTGCTTTTCTGCAGGGTATTTGAACAAGGTGGTGCCCGTGTGGTTGTGGATGTGGACAGCCTGGCCTTTGTGAAAGGTTCCATGGTGGACTTCAGCCAGGAGCTGATTCGCAGCTCCTTCCAGGTGGTGAGCAACCCCCAGGCAGAGAAGGGTTGCTCATGTGGGACTTCCTTTTCTGTCAAATTCTGACCAGAGTTCTCATGGATGGACACAATCTTCAGACACTTCATGGCAGTCTTCAGAGGTTTTTTGCTGATTCTTTTCCCAGCTGCTCCCTCTCATCTCCCTTACCCTGTAACACAGCTGGTACACATGACTCCAGCTGTGTATGTCTGTGTTCAGCCTGTCTCCAAGACTTGTTGGTCTTTCCTTCAGAAACATGAAGTAGCTCTGAGCATCCACATGGGAGCATTTTCAGCACCTTGTGAACCACCATCCAGGTGGTGCTGACTTGCCTACCCTGTCCTGAGCGTGGAACCACTGCACTGCTTATCTCTGCAAGGGATGGCTATATATATATGTATATATGCGTGTGTGTGTGTGTGTACTGAAAGTTCTTACTAAAGAAATTCTTTGAGATCGATGGGTATTGCTTGTACATTCCCATGTGTTGAGAATCTGGATTCTTTCAGGGTACTCTTGCTTATCTGTTGTTTTCCAGACAAATGGGTCTCAGAGTTTCTCTCCTGTATACTGCCCAGTGTTGCCAGCTCTCCAGTCCCCAACAGTGGGCTTTTCCAGATACTTTGCTGGTCTCTTACCCAGCAGGCTTCTCTTGGTCCCAGGAAGCTACAGTGTTTTTGCTGTCAGTCCCTGGAATGAAAGCTTTTACTTACTCAGAGTAAGTGAAGCTAAAAAAATGGAGGTAGGAAGAATTAACATCTTATTAATTTTATATTAAAAAATTGTGCATTTATATATATATATTAAAAAATGTGTGTATATATGTATAAAACCCAAAACACACAGCTCTCCATCCCCCAGTCCCCCACTGCTATTTTAGGCTGTTCCTAAATCACACAGAATCTCTGGTTTCAACACAAGACGTGTCTGGTGCCTTCCCTTGTCAGCAGGAAGGGAAGTTCAGGTGACCCAGGCAGAGGAGGATCTGGAGTACTACTTAGTGGTCCTCAAGTCCTTTTGACTTAGTTGTCTGGGAATCTTTGCTTCATTGTTTAATCTCTAACTTGTGCCTGGTTTGATGAAAGAATAAAATTTCTCCTTTCTTTTCTGAAACTGCCATGGAATGGGTAATCTAGAAGTTTCTAGGATAACATCCTTTTGCTTAGTTGTTTTCTGTAGATTTTTATCTGCCACTAGATGTCTTTTAAATTGGAATGATTCACCTGCTTCTGGGTGGGAGATGGGGAAGTTATTTTTTTCACCTGTCTTGTGTTTTATTTGATCATAACCGAATTGTCTAAAACTCGAGTCTCTCACCTGAGCGTGGGAACACTGTATGACTTTGGTCTCAAGGAAACTGCTTATGGGAAACAGCTTTTTAAGACTCTGTGCCACAGGTGTTTTTGTTGTTAAGCTTCCAAAACACCTTTCTCAACTAATGAGCAGTGCCTATGTACAGCACTGATTTGCCTAGTGATTTTCAGTGATCAGAGAGTTCAGTCAGCTAGTTTCAGTTTCATCTGTAGATGTTATGGGAGTCTGCTCTGACTTTATCTCATGAGGAATATGGCTGGGATTTGGAACAGCAGCTCTTTTGATTTAGCCCTTTCCATTTCCTGCAGTCAACAAGATCTACCTAGTTATGTTGCTGTCAGAGGGGGCTGGATGTAGTACTGTGCTATTTTGTAAAAGGGAGTAAAAGGATGTGATTAAAAAAAACTTCTCTAACCTCTTGCAGGATATTTTGGCCAGAACTGCCTTTGAGAAGTGTAAGACCTAAAAGCTTGTGTGGGTAAAAGACATCAAGTAAACTCAATTTCTTTCAGCTGGGGTAACTGAGAAATTAAATTTGGCAGGAGGAATTGCTTTCTGAAACAGGAAGTTTAGATCAATTCTTGATCCATTTCACACAGTCTGACCTCTAGGCAACTGTATTTTGGGATCTTTTAAAGAAAAGTAATGCTGGGGAAGTAGCAAACCAGCAGCTATCAAGGCTTCTTTCCCCTAAGCTAAAGCCTGCCTTCAGCCCCTGTTAAGCATGCGTCCTGCATCTTGGAGTAATGTTCTTTCCAAATGAAAATCTGCCATGTGTATTCAGCCTAGCTGTGTTCCACCTCCCTTCATTTACTCTACGCTGATGAAGTAAATCAGGCAAGTTCTGTTCATGCGTAGTGTCACCTCTTTCAGATAATTTGCCTCTCCCTCCCAGGGACTATACACAGCTTGAGGCTTTGGGTCCCAACCCCTGCCACCGGCAGTGTTGCTGGGATTGGCCGGTAAGCTCGTACGTGTGGCTTGCTCTGCCTGCGGTTCTGGCAGTACTGCTTTAACTGCGCTAGGTGGACCCCTTACTCCTTGGGAGTTGCTGAACTGGGCATACACAAGCATTTCGATTTACGTCTGGGATGAGGTTGGATCTGCTCCATGCAGGATCTAGGCAAAAGTTTCTTTGCAGTTGCCTGTTTGGAGACGGGAGCTGAGTTCATCTGGTCTCTAGATCAGAGAAACTGCTAGGAGCTGGAGAGGTTCTAGATACGCAACACATTTCTCTTGGCCTAGTGCTACTGTACAGGAGCAGCTGTAATGTACTGGCTAGAGCTATTAGTCTCCCAGTTCCCAGCAGTGAATGGGTGCAAAGGGCTGCCTGTTACCTCCAGAGTCCTCCTGACTCAGTCTCTCAGTACATGGATTATGGAAAACTTGTGGCCATGTTAGGAATTCAGGAAAGAGTGTCCTGTTAGCAGAGGGGGATGAAAGCGACCTTGGCGAATTTTTCCTGTATATGCAGAAAATGCCAGATCCGGTTCCTGTGGAAGAAAAAAACAAAACACCCAACCTGTCTAGATTTGTACACTGAAGGATGCAGTGATGGCACCACACGGTAGGCTGTGGGGCAAGACCAGCAGTTCCAGAAGGGTGCGGAGGATTAGACAGGGGATTTGGCCCTGCCTGGGCTATGAGGGACTGCCAAGGCATGCGTGTAAGGGGTCCGTAGTGTGGGGATAGGTGGGAGCCCTTATGCTGAGAAAAACAAGTATCAGGAATACGGAGCTGGAGGTGCTGCCTTCTCTTCATGGCAGATGAGAAACTGCAGTGGAAAATCTTTTTCCGTTCCCACATGAAGGAGGATTCTCTCAGTTCACCCACCTGACAAGGAATGAATGATCAAGAAAGATATTTATGGAAACCTATGTTAGGATGAAACTTCAAGGGAAAAGGGCAAAAATCATCGGTGGCACTGACAGGCGGGTAGAAGAAGATGGAATAGAAATACTCACTTTGATGAGCGCTTGTTAGAGCTCTGCAAGCACTTGCTAGTAGAGGACCAGCACGTCTTCAGCCTGTGACTCTGGATCTGTTCTTCAGGTCAGGTATCTACCATCATCTGTGGGTCCCTCTTTTTAGGCTTCAAGCCAATCAGTGGTAGAGAAATCACAGATTTTGTCATGCCCCTTTTCCTGTATAGGGGTATGTATGAGAATGCTGTGCTTGGAGGGCTTCTGTGTGGTATTACTTGCTATGGCAATTTTTTAGGGCACTTATTTTAGGGCAAGTGGCTCCTATAAGACCAAGGGCCAGACTAAGGTGGATGTTAGGGGAACAAGTGTCCCTCTCACCACCACGTTTTCACCTGCAGAATTTCATTAAGCTCAGTCCTTTCCCTTATGAAATTGCATCTGTACAGAGCTGTTGGGTGAGTCAGTACAGCAGCTGGGGTGAGGAGCCAATACCCCCCAGATGACACCCACTGAGGCTTCTGCTTCCCCACGCAGTACTGCATTTCCTGCTGCTGTGGGGCTTGCCTGAATCCATCAGCTGGGGGAGGAATCACTGAGTGGTGGAGGAGGCAATGACAGGAAGGCAGAAGTGCATTAGAGGAAGCCTCTCTTGTCTGTGTCCCATGCTGTGAAGGCAAATGCTTTTGTATCAAAAATGTCTTCAGCCTTGTAAGCATTTTGAACATCCACTGGCAGCTGGAAGTAAAAAGCCAGAATTGTATAAACACCACTATTCACACCATTAGGCGGGACTGGCCAGAGGAGTTAACTGAATTCATAGCAAGCGTGCTGTATTTCCAGGAGGAGCTGCTACAACATATGCTGGAGGACCAAGCTGCACAGTCCTCACTAACAAACACAGTAGTCTGATTCATTAGCAGAGTGTGATAGCATGTGCACCATTCTGATTCTTCATTCTCTTTGCCTGTTTCATATACACCAGTAAAGCTCTCACCCAGCATTCACAATGCTTCTCTGGAATGGGCTGTAGCTGCTGGAGAGGCTGGCAGCAGAGAAAAGGATAACCTTGTGTAATGATGTGTTTTATACAACTACCAGCCAGCCTGGAAATAGAACCCTGATTCAAGGAGATCAAGCATCGGCAAGAGCAAGCTGCAGCCACCTGTATTGTATCAAACTCTTACATTTGGGTATTGCTTTTCTGTTTTTAAGGAGGTGAGTCCTTGAACCAAACACTGTTAGGGGCTAGGTATAGGATTAATGGTGCAGTTCGGATCTTGCTGGGTTCTGAGGAATATGTTTGCTCTGCATGGTTCCCAGGATTAGGCTGCAACTGGCTTTGATCTGTGCAGATACCTGGCCAGGAAACAGCTCAATAGATCACGGACTTGGGGTGGGTTTAGTGTCCAGCTGTGGACAGAAATTCCGTGGTGAGGCAGCTGAAGCTGTTCCTGACAGCAGGATGGGCCATTACTCCAAGACTGTGATTCTCTGCCCTGTGGGGAGCAGTTTGTGCGCTGAGCTTCCTGCCTCTGGCCTTCCCAGCACTTGTATGGTCTTAATATTTCCTGCTTGAGCAGTAAGAGTTTATGGCCCTAGTCTTTGTGGTTGATTAGAGCCCAAGTTTGTGCCCCTGTTTTAATCAGTGCTCATTTACCTTTGGCATCCTTCAGAGGAGCAGAATGGTATGTCTTTCAGTTGCCATGGAAACAGTGAGACTAAATGCACATTTCCATGGCAACCTGCCATTATCTTCAGCTCTATCTGTGGGTCTCATTTTCTGACCATGGGGGTGGGGTAGTGAAAATGGAACTTCATTTCGTAAAAAAATAAAAATAAAAATAAAAAACCAACCATGAAAAGAAAGATGCCACCACTACCACAGCCATCACCACTCCTTTTCTTCCTCTGGCTTAGGCCTGGGGCTCAGAGAGGCCTGTGACTACTGCCACCATCCCATGCGCTGGGCTTCCAAGGTATTGTCTTCAGCTTCTTCTCTCCTTCATCCTTCTAAAAATAGAGACGTTCAGAACAATTTGATGACA